ACACATTCGTTTCAAAGGAGGGCTTTCTGCTTTTCTTTTGTTGGTTTCTCTATAGTTTAACATTTTTTCTTCCAGCTTACATTTAGGAAGGTATGTACTTCTGCTTGTTTTTTCATTAACCGTTTATATCCCCTAATCTGTATTTGTATCTCCCTTCCATTTTGAGTGACGGAGCTTGCTCAGAACTGAAGTGACTGGTTCTGAAAAGGGGGTTAAAATATGCTTTTTTTGTAGTTGGGTGATTGGGGTGTGTGTGCTCCCCTCCTTTGCCTAGTGCAGCGATGAGTGGTATCATGCCATGGCAGAAGTTTCTGCCTCCAACTCTAAAGAGAAACATGACCACACAGCTCTCTGGATCAGTTATGCCCATCAAAAATGTCCACAAACAGGAGAAGTCCCACTTATCACCAAGGAGGAGGAGAAGACCTTCAAGGCCTTTGCCAGCCTGCCCATGGCTCAGGCCAATTCTCAGCTCTTTGGCATCCAGGCAAAAAGATCCAAAGAAGCTGCCAAGCAGGAAATGGAGAAAAAGAAATAATGATTTCTGTGCTTGGAGATTTCAATAAAGGTTAATGGATTTGGGAAAAAAATAAAGAAACAAACACCTCACAGTCCTGGCCAATGTTCCCATTTGTGATGCACAATCTGGCCGAAAACAGTTCTGGTGGGCTCTGTTGTTACCTTCTTGGCTTCACAGTTCAAAGGACAGTCATAAACAGCATGAAAAGAATCCAGGCAAAGAATATAAAGGCACCGTGATTCTTTACAATTGGTTGTTTGGAGTTCACATCCCAATTCATTGTGAATTTTGCTTCTGAGAGGCAATAAATAGAATAGCATTATAGGGGTTTTTTTTTTTTTAAAGTAGTGGTTTTCAACCTGCGCGTCCCCAGATGTTTTGGCCTTCAATTCTCAGAAATCCTAACAGCTGGTAAACTGACTAAGATTTCTGGGAGTTCTAGGCCAAAATACCTGGGGACCCACAGGCTGGGAAGCACCGCTTTAGAGCATGTCAACTATCAGCAGTGGCCTAACTACTGCTTATTTTAAACAGGATGGAATATTCCCCTCCCTGAGAGATGCATTCATGATTTGTCATATTTGGATTGAATTACATCTCCTCCCTGGATGACCAGCCAAGAGGGGCAGGGATCTGGAAAGCAAGTTGTTCTCCTTCCTTGCCCCAGCAGCTTGTCCACATCAGTGGTACTCACTAATGGAAATAGATAAATAACATTCAAAGATATTAAAAGAACTGGCAAAAATAGTTTTGGAACCACTTTGAGAATTCCTAGAGAACAGATTACCAGTGGACTGGAGGAGTGAAAAGGTTGTCCCCATCTTCAAAAACGTGTTTCCCAATGGCTCCTCTCGTATTAGATGCATTTGACTATCTCTAGATGTTTCTCCTTTTTCTGTATCCCATTGATTTCACTCAATAGCAAGCTTCAAAGAAGAATCAGTGATGGATGACAGGACAGGAGGCATACCTTTCAAATTTGCAGATGATTCCTCAGATGACAGAGTCAGAATCCAAAATGACTTATCAAATTAGAGAGCTGGGCCAAAACTAAGAAATTGAATTTCAACACAGAAAAATGTATAGCATTGCACTTGTGTATGTGTGTGAAATGTAGCTGTTACTTTCCAGTGAAAACTGACTGTTTGTTTCTCTGCAGGATTTGATGAGTCTTCATCAGCATTGTCTGGTGAAGGAGATAGAAAAGGTTCTGGAATATAAAGCAAAGACAGAAAAGGAAGCCCAAGACCTGCTTGTAAGTATAGGAGTAAATGTGATTATGGAAGGAACATAACTTAAAACAATGTGTAAAAAACATGTTATAAAATGCAGCTTCATCATATATATCTTTGGATGGTGTGAAGACTGATCATGAATCCCATACTGTGACCTTGAGTGAGTTGCCAATTCTTAGCTTCAGAGGAAAGCAAAAGCCACTCATCCTCTGAATGCATCTTGTCAAGAAACCCCCAGGATAGATTCATCTTAGGGTCACTATAAGAGGGAACTGACCTGAAGGCACACAACAACAAGAAGAGGGAGTTTTACCTGATAGTTTGTCAGGAACCCTCTGTTGAAATTCCTCCTCCTACACAACCATTGATGTGTCAGAAACCCTCTCTTTTTTTTATTTCAGCAACTGTATTTTAATGTGATACTCATTTACTTGCTCTTCTTTCTGATCACTGCAGAAGCAGACAAAAGCAAAAATTGAAAAAACAATGGGAGAAATCACACAAATACGGCAGTTTCTGGAAGAACAGGAGAAACATCTCCTGGCCCAGATGGAGGAGATTGAGAAGCAGATTGTAAGGAAAAGAGATGAACACTTGGTCTTACTTTCCCGGGAACTTTCTTCTCTGGAAAGTCTCATCCAGGAGTTGAAAGAGAAATGTCAGCAGCCACCAGCAGAACTGCTGCAGGTAAGACTGGGCAAAAGAAATGAGCTGCAAAACTAATGTTTTGGAAGTAGTTTTTCTGGCATGGACAAGATCCATTACAAAATATCTGCTATTTGTTTATTGTGTAATTAACTAGGCATTGTTTTGGTTAAGCTCAGAAGCCTGCATTTCGAATCCACTTTGATGTTGTTCTAGAGCAGTGGTTCTAAACTTGGGGGTTGTGACTCCTAGGGGGATCAATCAGCCGTTTGAGAGGGGGCGTGCTGCCACTTTCTTCGGTCTTGCCTCCTCGGTCCCACCTCTTCCTCCTTGCACCTGGAACATGCCACCCTCTCCTGGCTGCCTCTCTGGAGGGGAAGACCAGAAGGAGTTGCCCAGTGTGGAAACAAGGTGGAGGAGGAGGCGGAGGTGGAGGCAGTGGGAAGTGGCACTCTCCCCCACCCCCTGTTGTCTCAGCCCCGTTCTTAACTAGGAGTTGTTTGTAACTCAGGGATGACCTGTTGTCTGAAGAACAACATTGTCACACAAACATGGACAATCTTAAGGGATAAAGTTATGAAGTAGCAATGAAAATAATATTATGGTTGGGGGTCACCGCAACATGAGGAACTGTATTAAAGGGTCATGGCATTAGGAAGGTTGGGAACCACTGTTCTAGAGCGTGCCCTGGGCCCATTTACACAACACAAATATAGCACTACATTTCATTATAACTGCCAGGCAACATCCTACTGAATCCTACATTTCCAATTTAACATGGAGGAAGTAGAAGTTTCAGCCAGAGCACTCTGGTGTCTTTTCAACTACACATCCTAGGGTTCCAAAACAATTAAAATGAAACCTCCTCGCAGGATTGCAAGATATCTGGCGTCCCCTGGGCAACGTCTTCGCAGACGGCTGATTCTCTCAATCCAGAAGAAACCAGAGACGACTTGCAGCATGCAAACAAGGAAGCAAAACAACCAACGGACCTTTTCAGGACCAACCATGACAATAATCTCAATCAATATCGAAGGCATGTCAGCTGCCAAAGAGCAACTGCTCTATGAACTGTGCTGAGATAAGAAATGCGATGTGCTGTGTGTCCAAGAAACACACAGTGATGAACAACAGAAACGACCCAAAGTTCCAGGAATGGTCTTAGTAGCGGAAAGACCACATGCGCAGTATGGAAGCGCCGTCTTTGTCAAACCAGGCCTCCAAGTCAGCAGTGCCCACAACACTGAAGAAAACAATATAGAGGTTATAACAGTAGAGCTTAACAACATCACCATCACCTCTGTGTACAAGCCCCCAAATGAAGATTTCTGCTTCTCCTCCCCCGAGAATTTTGATAGGCACCAAAGGGCGGTAGTAATTGGTGACTTTAACAGCCATAGCCATGTATGGGGCTATGCCCAAGAGGATAAAAATGGAGAGGCTGTCCTCTCCTGGTCTGAACTGCACAAACTATCACTCATCCATGATAGCAAGCTCCCACCATCCTACAACAGCGGGAGATGGCACCGAGGTTATAACCCAGACCTCCTATTTGTGAGCGACAGCATCGTACAGCAATGCACAAATCAGTGGGACCATCAATTCCAAACACACAGCACCGGCCACTAGTATGCCAACTGTTTCCAACTATAAGGCTCCAGGAAGTTCGATTTAAACGAAGATTCAACTTCAGAAAGGCAGATTGGACTAAATTCTCAGACATGTTAGATGACATGATCACATCGGCCACGCCAACCCCGGAGGAATACGAGCACTTTATTGAAATCGTGAAAACCTGCTCACGGGCCTCGATACTGAGAGGCTGCAGAACCAACTACCTTCAGGGCATTACTCCTGAAACAGCTGCCTTGTTGGAAAACTATTACAGGCTCCACAACGAAGACCCATTTAGTGAGCAGACCCTCCAGGCAGCGCAGAGCATTGTGTCCTCCATCTCTGAAGCCAAGAAAGCACAGTGGATCAAGCTGATCACAGAGGTCGACATGGGCAGGAGCAGCCAGAAGGCGTGGAGGCTGCTGAAGACGGTTGAGCAACGACCCCTCACAAACTAATACCCATGCCAACATAAAGGCAGATCAGATAGCACACCAACTCTTGAAGAATGGGAAACCCAACTTTGCCACCAAAGTAGGAAAGAAACCAATAGCCAGACAACCACAGATTGAGAACAACAACCTTCATGAACCCTTTACATCTACTGAATTGGATATGGCTCTCAATAAATGTAAAAATGGCAAAGCAGCTGGCCTGGATGATCTACGGATGGAACAAATCAAGAACTTTGGTCCAAAAGCAAGGCGCTGGCTGCTGGAGCTGATGAACAACTGCACTGCATCCTGTCAGATCCCCAAAATCGGGAGGAAAGCAAGAGTCATCGCCATCTTGAAGCCAGGCAAAGACCGTAATGACCCAAAAAGCTACAGACCAATCTCCCTGTTGTGCCACCTCTACAAAGTTCTGGAGAGACTTATTTTGCATAGAATTATGGAAAACTAGACCCATGTCTGATCCCACAGCAAGCTGGCTTCAGGAAAGGCAAAAGCTGCACATCGCAAGTGTTGAACCTCACTCAGCACATAGAAGATGGTTTTGAAAGGCAGCAGATCACAGGAGCTGTCTTCATAGACCTGTCAGCAGCCTATGATACTGTGAACCACCGCCTTCTCCTGAGGAAAATGTATAGTATCACAAAGGACTACCACCTCACCCGCCTCATAGGAAACCTGTTACAAAACAGGAGCTTTTTTGTTGAGTTCCAGGGCCAGAGAAGCAGATGGCGGAAACAGAAGAACGGCCTGCCTCAGGGGAGCGTGCTTGCTCCATCCATGTTCAACATCTACACAAATGACCAGCCACTGCCAGAAGGGACAGAGAGTTTCATTTATGCTGATGATCGTGCCATTACTGCTCAAGCAGGGAGCTTTGAGATGGTAGAACAGAAGCTTTCCGAAGCTCTAGGTGCTCTTACTGCCTATTACAGGGAAAACCAGCTGATCCCCAACCCATCTAAAACACAGACATGTGCCTTTCATCTCAAGAACAGAGAAGCATCCCGAGCTCTGAAGATCACCTGGGAAGGAATCCCACTGGAGCATTGCACGCACCCAAATACCTGGGAGTCACTCTGGACCGTGCTCTGACCTACAAGAAGCACTGCCTGAGCATCAAGCAAAAAGTGGGTGCTAGAAACAATATCATACGAAAGCTGACTGGCACAACCTGGGGATCACAACCAGATACAGTGAAGACATCTGCCCTTGCGCTGTGCTACTCTGCTGCTGAGTATGCATGCCCAGTGTGGAACACATCTCACCACGCTAAAACAGTGGATGTGGCTCTTAATGATACATGCCGCATTATCACGGGGTGTCTGCGCCCTACACCACTGGAGAAATTACACTGTTTAGCCGGTATTGCACCACCTGACATCCGCCGGGAAGTAGCAGCCAATAGTGAAAGGACCAAGGCAGAGACATCTCCAGCTCATCCCTTTGGGTATCAGTCATCATGTCAATGACTTAAATCAAGAAATAGTTTTCTAAGATCTACAGAGATACTCGCAGGAACACCTCAGCAAGCGAGAGTCCAAAAGTGGCAGGCTAAAACCCAGAACCTCAACCAATGGCTGATACCAAATGAGAGACTCCCTCCGGGCACACAGAGACTGGGCGACTTGGAAGGCACTGAACAGACTGCGCTCTGGCACCACGAGATGCAGAGCCAACCTTCAGAAATGGGGCTACAAAGTGGAATCCTCGACATGCGAGTGTGTAGAAGAGCAAACCACTGACCACCTGCTGCAATGCAACCTGAGCCCTGCCACATGCACATGGAGGACCTTCTTGCAGCAACACCAGAAGCACTCCAAGTGGCCAGATACTGGTCAAAGGACATTTAATCAACTCTCATACTCACAAATTTGTAATCTGCTTGTTTGCTTTTTTCTGTTAGAAATGTAATATAATTTGACTGGTTGTTCTGACACGACAAATAAAAACCATTAGATTTGTCTACTTTGATGAGCCCCCCCCCCAAGTCTACCACTAAACCACTGATACAAAAGGAGGGAAAGGATCAAGCCTGATATACCCAGAGACAACTCTATTCCATATAGGAGCTTCCAAGATGCACTGGGTGTATGCATGAGGCCTAAACCTCCTCAGAAATGTTTAGGATTTTGATTCATTTGCATTTACAGAGAATTGCATGGAGAAGTTAATTGAAGTCAAAGCTCTTATTTAGTATTTTCGTGGAACACAAACTTGTTAACAGCTGTTTCTTGTTTCTCAACTCTGCAACTCTTCAATTCCTTTTTGCTCTTTTGAAGCACTCAGGAAGGAGACTGAGGAGGACTTGGTGGAAAGGAATTCAAATCTGAGGATGCCTATCTATGGGCATGTTCCGTCTTCCAGGAGCATAGTTTGCCTTATCTTGTAGTTGCATGGGATAGTGTTCTTTTGCATTTCCCAAGGGCTGCTGCAGACCCAGCAGCACCCTTGAAGTAAAACAGTATCAGAGTCTGCAAAGCCAGACTGCAGGGCCTCTGCAGTTATTGGTTTAGAGAGGTATCTCTTTGGGTCTAGGGACCGCCTTTTTTCCTGGGCTTGAGATCTCCATTTTGGAATTTCCCCTGCTTCCTTCAGTAGAGAAAGAAAGCTTCAGATGTGCTGTTGGTTAGGTAGGTAGCTCTGAGAAAACCATTTTAAGAACAATTGAGTTATTTAGATAGAGAAGCTAATTGAGTCTTAATTGAGCCTATAAGATAGATAGATAGACAGATAGACAGATAGGCTGATTGCATCTTGATGGAGATAGAATAGTGATTAAGATATAAAGAAGATGATTGAGATACTATAGATTGAGATTGAGTTATAGCTAATTGAGACAGATTGAGTATAGATTGAGTGATTGAGGAATAGATAGAAAAAATAGATATTAAGTCATTACTTCATCTCCAAAGCTAACCTTGAGCTATAGATAGGGGAAAAACCTGCTTTTTTCTAACCATAACAGATCAGAGTTAGGGTGAAAGATTCCAGAATCTTTTCTACCTTTTGGAGGAAAAGGGTTACCTCAGTATCTGAAGGAAAAGAACATCTCTATGGTTTCACCAATTGACTGTTTTGTTTGTAACTTTGATAAGCTGTGCCAAGTCTGCAAGGACTTTGAGAAATAAATATTCTGTTTTGAAGTTCAAAGCCTGTAATAGCCTCAGTTGCTGAGTATCTCAAGCTTCTAAAGAAAGATCCCTGCGATCTGCCTAGACAAAGAGAGAAGCTCATATTAGTTTATTTTTATAGGGTCTGGGTGTGACGGCACAGGGCAAGAAACTGAGATGACAGACAATTCAAAAGGAGAACGCACCAGAGAACTCTAACTGTCCCTTTCTCCTCTGTTACCCTCAAAGGAACATAGTCTTTACATAAGGATAGTTGCACTATTCCCAATGTTTAAGTTACAGAAGTGTCCTTGGGAAGAGACAGACTGCTTTCTCATCCAGCAAAGAATCAGATATGTGAGCAATGACATCCCTCTTCTTTTGTTCTTCTTCCCTCTAGGATGCGAGGAACCTCTTGCAGAGGTAAGTGGATCCCAATCCTTTCCGTTAGACATAACAGGTGGACATGGTGATCCTCTGATGCTCCYTGGAAGAAAATAAAGGCCTCTAACAGGTCACAGATAAAAATATTGCCTTTGTTTTGACTTTATGGGACTTGTCCCATAGCTAGTGTCACTGCCATAGCGAGATCTCTAATAATTGTTTGTTGTATTTGTTTACTCAGCAATATTTATCCTGAAATGGCAAGCTCTTTCTGTACCTTTAAAAAAAGTAATTTGCAGGAGTGGCTCTCTCCCTTCACCCAATTGATCCATTTTCTTCACTAGGTTTGAGGAGAAGCAAACATCCGAGAAGCCAGTGGCTTTCCCTCCAGAGCTGAAATGGAAGATCTGGGAGTTTTGTGATCTAAATTCCTTTCTATTTGCTGCCTTGAAGCCATTCCGAGGTAAAGAGATGTGTCCACTAGGAGTTGTGCTGGTTTCTGCATTGGCCGAAAAGGGAATATGGGGAACTCTTATTTTTGTTGTATTCTCATCACAGCTTGGGGAAGAAGCAGTGGGGCTTCTCTCCCCAGACCCAGGCACTGTTTTTTTTCTTTTTTTACTAGAAGGACACAGCTTAGTTCTGTGACAATGGCAGTCAATGTGCATGTGCACAAACATGAACACACACAGAGAGATACCACTTCTGGTTTATATGCATTTACAAGGATTACCTCAGTTAACAAACTAGATTTGTTTCTGGGTATTACTTCTTTTAATAGAAATTTTGGTACCAGAGGCAGAAACAATGTGGAAAACATTGGGATGGGTGCAAACACCACCGGGGGGGAAAAAGAAGCATTTATCCTGTTATAACAAACTGATAAATCCAAATGAACAATATGCACATGTGAAATGAAACAGATAAATTAAGTACTCCTTCCTTTAGTGCATGAAGATATTTTGAGCCTTCTAGAAGCCATGTCAAGGCCTCTGGCAAAGTGGATCCAGGAATTCCTTTTTTCTTTCCTCATTTCTTATAATTTCCACTTTGGTAAAGGAAGCTGGTGATGGAAGCTTCCCTGCTCTCCTCTCTCTTCCCGTGTTTTTCTGTTCAGGCATGATGCCTGGACAATGATTGCACAACTTAATTGTAAAACATAACAGAACGTCTTACTGAGGGAGAATCATGTCAAAAGCAAAGTGCAGGCCTGCCTCCTAAAGCWTTTATCATTCTTCCAGTATCACAAACTAGTATTTGTTTCAGTTTCTTTTTAAACCTTCATTGGAGGCGTCTAATAATAAACTTAATAACAAACTTTTATTTATACCCCGCCACCATCTCCCATAAGCACACATGGTGCCACACAACATATAAAATAATACAGTATATAAACATTAAAAATACAATAACATATTTAATACCAGACATATAAAATTGACAAAAATAAAATGTAGCAATTGTCATTGCTTAAAAATCCTTGCAATCAATTTAACCTTCCCTGGCTAAAGAATAGTCTGGCTGCTATCTTAAGCGTTATCAAAGGCCTGTTAAAAGAATCAAGTTTGTAGTTCTTTCTGAAAGTGCTGTAGTGTGGAGGCTTGCCTAAGTTCCTTGCGGAGGGCATTCCAGAGCAGGGGGGCCACCACCAAGAAGACCCTCTCCCTCATCCCCAACCAATGCTTCAGACAGAAGTCGGACCAAGAGGAGAGCCTCCTGGCAGATGTCAGAGCCCTTGCTGGTTCATAGGGGGAGATCTACTGTGAAGTGATATTTTTCTGAACAAAACGATTTGACACCTAATCTTATATATGTTTTGTTTTATTTCAGTTGCTTTCTTAGATGCTGTGTCACCTGGGCTAGAGCTTCAGAAAGGTAAATTTCCAATGGTGGGCAAAAGTCACAGGAGGGATGGTGCCACTTTCCTGGATGGATGGGTGGGGGGTGGACCGGGATGTGTGAGAGACGGCGGTGGAGGGCTACGGGATGATGGGGCGAGTGGGAGGGGATGAGATGGGGATGGCTGGTCGAGATCGAGGGATGGTCCGATGGGGGGGTTGGGGGAGGCGATCGCGCGTATTGGGGGGGGGGAGGTGGGGGATCGGGTGGATAGGGAAGGGATGACTGGGATTGTCGCGCGGTTGGATCCGGGGCCCGGGTGATGGGATGTGAATCGGGATGAGGGGGAGGGTGGGGGGATAGGATGTCGACAGCGGGGGAGGGATGGTGGGAGGATAAGGCGATGGGGGATAGGAGGTGGGACAGGGGATGACGGGTACGGGAGGGGGAGGAGGGGAATGGTCGGCTGGCATGGGGAGGCGGGGGTACGGGGGGGGAGACCTGAGGAACTCGGGAGGGAAGTGCGGAGATTGGATGGGGGGGGATGGAGGGAGGGGGGTGTGTCACCTGGGCTAGAGCTTCAGAAAGGTAAATTTCCAATGGTGGGCAAAAGTCACAGGAGGGATGGTGCCACTTTCCTGGTGGCATTTCACTGAATCAATGATATTTTCCCCTTCGTGTTTACTCTTTCTATTCTTTGGGGAGGCTGTTGGTTGTAACTTCATGGATCAGCATCAGGGATTTTTACAATTTTTTTTTAAAAATGTGTGTTTTGCTGAGGGAATTCCGTGGTTTGAAGCGCAGAATATCTCCTCTGAGTTTTACAAAAAAAAAAAAAATCTTACAGCTACAATGTTACAGTATAAAAGAACCATGGTCCTTATGCAAGGAAATGCCTCTAAAAACAATTATTAAAAAGAGTGAATGGAGGTTTAAAGAATTATAGGCTAATAAAATGATACTCATTGAGTAGCAGTCCTGGGGAAAAACCAATTCAAGTTAAAAGAGCTAAAATAAAAGTAGTAAGTAATTCATTCTAGGAGTCTTTTGTTTATGTTCTTTTGCAGTGTGATTTGATTGACAATTGGAGCAACAGTGTTAATTAATGAACAGATTAATACATCATTCTGAGTAGAAAACAGTCGTAACTGAATGCAGCAGCCACATTGCTGTCCGAAACAACTTTTAAGGAGCACATGTCCTCTTCGGTGAAACAACTACCACTCCATTTCCAATCATAATCCAAATTGCTGGTGACCTTTAGCAAGCCATGTTTGCTTGGGTCCTTACCAGTTAAACGTTTTTCAAGGTTTGCTTGCAGGCTTTCTSTCCTCCCACTGCCATCCCAGGCACAATTGGGGAGGACGCAGGGGAGTGCCTTTTTGGTGTCTCAAGTAAATAATGAATACCACTCAGAAACAGGAGAACTCCAGACAACAAGCAACCAAGGGCCCAGTAACACCTCCCAAACAGAGGACGCCTCCAGGAAACAAAGGCTAGGCTACTTCTATGCATATATCCTCACTGATTGACTTTGCAAACTTTATGGCTACTCAAATGCTAATTCAAGCTTGCTAACTGCAATTGTCCCATTTGCTTTAAAMAGACAAGAGCTCTTTCTCCTACCTTGGGCATTCCYGGGTGGGAGAAAGAGACACACATTCCAATTGCCTCATGGCCAACAGAACCTCCGAAGAAGCCAGCCACAGATGCAGGCAAAATGTCAGGAGAGAATGCTGCTAGAACATGGCCATACAGCCTGAAAAGCTTATAGATTCCAGCCATGAAAGCTTTCGACAATATGTTATACATCTTATTTTATTATGTTTTAAGCTTCTTTTTAGTGCTTTTTTCAATCAAAGTTGGATTTACTTGTGTTTTAACTTTTTTATTAAGAGTTTTTATGTTGTGTTTTTCAAATATCGTATGCTGCCTTGAATCCCATTCTGGGAGAAAGTGAGATATACATTAAAGAAATAAATTGAATACAATTTGTGTTTTGAAGGGTGCTTCTACACTGTAGAATTAAAGCAGCTTGACACCACTTTATTCCTCAATGCTATGGAATCCTAGGTGTTGTAGTTTCACAAGGTCTTCTGCCTTCTCTGCCAAAGAGTGTCCCACCAAACTACAGTTTCCAGGATTCCAAAGCATTGAGCCATGGCAGTTAAAGTGCTGTCAACCTGCATTTGTTTTGCATTTTAAATGCATCCAAGAATATTTTTCAGTGTGCACACAGAGCCCAAGTAACAAACAAGATAGATCCTGTAGGTTTATTTTTAAGTTGAATTTGTGTGCAAGTCGGAACAGGTACATAAGTGTAGCTCCAGCCATATTGTGGTGTTCATTTTGCTCTCTGCATTCCTGTTCAGAAGATTTAACCTCACTTTCTGTCCCTGGGATACTTAGATTTTGAAAAATATGGCCTATGGAAACAAGTATTGTTGAGGAAGCTTCAGTGGAGACCCTTTCCCCCCATGATCATAACTCTTTCAGAAGTGAATGTCTCTCCTGAGGGGTAGATTTCTCTCACTCTCTGTTGTGGAGATGCAAGGACTCCTCTCCCTTTAAAGATTGTGCAAAAAAGGAGTTTCAGCAGGTACTTTTTTTCTCAGAACCAGGTGACAGTACCTGCTGGCATGGTCTCTTCTATACAAGCATTACAGGGACAGAGGCCCATCTTGTTCCAACAGCCCCACAGTGGGTTAAACCCGCTGAACTGCTGACCTGTAGGTTGGTGGTCTGAATCTGCAAGATGGGGTGAGTTCCCATCTGTCCGTCTAAGCTTCCCATGCGAGGACATGAGAGAACCCTCCCACAGGATGGTAACACATCTGGGTGTCCCCTAGGCAATGTTTCTGCAGATGGCCAATTCTCTCACACCAGAAGTGACTTACAGTTATCTCAAGTTGCTTCTAACACGAGAAAAAAAAATCAAAGGTAATATTATCATATGTATTCAATCAAAATATTAATTATAAAAGAAGGCTACCTTTCTATCTGAGAAAAATCTTTAATATCCAGTTTTCTAGACAGAATCCACACAAAGTAGAGTTTGATGGAAATACTGATGATGGAAATACTGATTTCACAAGTAGTCTTTATCACAATAATAAGAAGGATGTTTTATTATGAGAAGAATGAAGTTGATTCTGGGGTGTGTTAACCTTTCAGTGCCCATTATTTTCTCAGCTCCTTCTGCTTCTATTTGCTTTCCTTCATCTCTCTCTCTTTTTCTGTCTCCCACAGCAAATGTCACTCTGGATCCAGACACAGCGGCTCCCTGGCTCATCCTGTCTGAGGATCAGAAAAGTGTGAGATACCAAGCCAAGTGTCAAGACCTGTCTGACAATCCTGAGAGATTCAGTAACCGACCTTATGTGTTGGGATGTGAGGGATTCACATCTGGCAGGCATTTCTGGGAAGTTATTGTGGAAGGGGAAGAAGAGTGGGCTGTAGGAGTGACCAGGAAGTCTGTCAGGAGAAAAGGCACTCTTACCATTATTAGTGGGGATGGGATCTGGGCCGTGGGCAAGTGGGGAGATAAGTATCATGCTACCAGTTGGCCTTCTCGTACTGATTTCCTGCTGAGTGAAAAGACCAAGCGGGTCCGAGTCTGTCTGAACTACGCTTCAAACCAGGTGGCCTTTTATGATGCTGATACGGGAGATCAGGTCTGTGTATTCTCAGATGTCCCATTCTCCGGAGAGACTGTCCTCCCGTTCTTTTATGTGTTTAAAGAAGGCCATCTCAGAATCTCAGCATAAAGCAGGCAAGCCTCTTTCATGGGCCTTGTTCTCTAAACCTGGATAATAATATAAGGAGTTTATTAAACCCTTCTTGGAAAAGTGGTTTTAAAGTAAACAATGTTTGGTTTTTTTTGAAATATGATTTTATTGCTTGTATTCTGCCATGAAAGCTTTTGAGAGAGAATMGKCCTCACRTGTTAGAATGAATAAACATAACTTGTACAGAACTCAATTTTTTTTTCATTGAGTGAGTCTGTTTTCTTTTTCTCCAAAGGCCCCCAAGGAGGTTTCACAAATCACTCTTCAAAACTCCCTATGAATCAGTCAAGTCTTACTTTTTACTCTCCTTTCACATAGGAGCCCCCGGTGGCGCAGTGGATTAAACCACTGATCTGCTGAACTTGTTGACCGGAAGGTTGCAGGTTCAAATCTGGGGAGTGGTGTGAGCTCCCGCTGTTTGCCCCAGCTTCTGCCAACCTAGCAGTTCAAAAACATGCAAATGTGAGTAGATCAATAGGTACCGCTCCGGTGGGAAGGTAGTSAGGCTGGCCACATGACCTTGGAGGTGTCTAGGAAAAACGCTGGCTCATCGGCTTAGAAATGGAGATGAGTACCAMCCCCCAGAGTCAGACATAACTGAACTTAATATCAGGGGAAAACCTTTATCTTTTACTTCACATAGCATCCTGTCTCTTAAAGAAACAGTGGCACATTAATATGCTTTTAATACCATGGAGTTTCCTTCTCAAGATCTTTTCAGAGGGGCGTTCCCAGTGCTTTCCTTCTGAAGCTGAGAGAGTGTGTCTTTCCCAAAGTTACCCCGTGGGCTTCTATGGTCAAGTAGGGATTTTAATCTTGGTCTCCAAAATCATAGTCCAAAGCTTAAATCACTGCAGCTTGCTGGTTTCAATTTGCAAATCTAATTCTCATAAAAGATATAGATGTCATGATCCTATAGCCTCGCATTGCTATATTTTCAAGATAGCAGTAAGGGGCAGTCAAAATGCTTTTTATCCAAACTCAATGCACAACAATCTGGCACAGCATTAAAAGTTAGGAGCTGGATATTAACTGAACTGTGTTGCTATCCACTACAATTGCTCTCTCTGAACACTACTATTAAAATACAACACGTTATGCTCCCACACACCAACACTTCTACAATTTTTATCTGCCTAAATATACATCTGTCTGAAACAAAGTTGTTTAATCTTGATTATGAATACTTAAATTGGATAAATTACATTTTCATAATGCATAATAATGGATTCAATACTCTGTAATAATGGATGTTGGAAAAGGATGTTGTAGGCCACACCCTATTGATGGAGAAAATATTACTGAATGACAGTGATTCTTAACTTGTTGTTTTAGCCAACTTTAGTATTTCTAAATATATTATCTCAATTGTTTTTGTTTCTAATCTGATTCTGACAAACTTTAACTTTTTTGAAATTCAGAATGGCAGGATTATACACTGAAACAGATGAAGTTCCCATCTCCTTCTCTTTGTACTTCAGAATTGAAGGTTTTTGCCACTTCCTAGCTAACAGAAAGCAGGAAACCCAGGATCAGATCCAGGAATATAGGGCCTGTCTGGAAGGGCCCTATGTCTGTAGACACACATACACATATGAATTGCCACCAGAGAGAAACTCAGATATGCTATGTATGAGCACTTTACTTTATTCTGTATCTCAGGCACCTTATATTAAATCATGTGCATTTGGGCTTTCATCTCAATACTCAATTATGTCTAACCAAATGTAATCTCATCTATTGCTTTCAAGAATCAAGCAAATCTTGAGCAAGTTTATAATAATATAAAGAATAATTCAACTCTATTTGTATACCACCCTATCATGCCATATCAGTCACTATTTTAGGATGGCATGTCAAGGCTTTCAGGAATGTCATATCTTGAAGACAAAGAACTTCATCACATGTAGAAATTTTCCCAATTCTACACACAAATTTCACAATCGTGATTATTCAATGCAATGACAGTATCCTAATTTTTTGAGGTAGAGGTAGAACTTGAGTATTTGTTTTCTGGCAAAATTAATATTCAGATTTTCAAAAACGATCCTTGAAGTGACTGGATTGACCTTGAAGGAGCTGGGAGTGGTGACGGCCGACAAGGAGCTCTGGCATGGGCTGGTCCATGAGGTCACGAAGAGTCGGAAACAACTGAATGAATGTATAATAATATAAAGAATAATTCAACTCTATTTGTATACCACCCTATCATGCCAAGGGGACTCAGGACAGTTTCCAAAATATAAGGCAAAACAATTCAATAGCCAAACAGGAAAATCATACAGACAAATTAAAATAAACATCATAAAACATAAAATGCCGCTAAAACTTACACAAAAAAATGAAAAATCAATTTCATTCTTGCTCCATCAGACAGGTTCAAAATACCAATGGCCAGGATTAGAAAATGGACCTGGCCAACTATCATAGGGCCGGGGAAGTGCAGAACACAGTATTATCCAATGGCCTAGGGAGGGACCTAGGGACCAATCATTCTCAGAAACCTGCTGGAACATGCAGGTTTTCAGGTCCCTATGAAAGGAGGACAGTGTGGGGGCTTGCCTAATCTCCCTGGGGAAGGACTTCCAAAGTCGGTGGCCACCACTGAGAAGGCCCTCCCCCTTGTCCCCACCAACCATACTTGTGATCCGGCCTGTAGCTGGGGGGGGGGGGTTAGGGGTTCAACCCACCCCCCTAAATTTTCAGGTTAAAAAAACCTGGTTTACTCATGAATTTTAACTGGTTAACCAAATCCCCATGCTAAGTCTATGAGACGCAAAAAATTAAGAGTCCCTCCAGAACTGCAAGCATTATCTCAAGCAAATATTGACAATTTATTCACACTGTCATAACTTGCAGCAATAGCTGATGTAGCTTCAGCGTGACCCCCCCCCCCCCCCCCCGAAATTTTCAACCCTCCCTGAATTTTTTTTCTGGCTATGGCCCTGCTTGTGATGGTGGTGGAAATGTGAGGAGGGCCTCCCCGGCAGATTTCAAAACCTGTGCTGGTTCATAGGGGTAGATGCGATCACGAAGATAGGCGGGGTCCGAACCATTTAGAGCTTTGTAGGTCATAACTTGACCTTGAATTGGGACCGGCAACTTATCGGCAGCCCATGGAGCTGCTTTAATAGAGGTGTTTCACAATATTACTAGTATGTAGGTATGTCTATCTTATCCATGCCATATCAGTATTAGGATTTTATGATGGCATGTCAAGGCTTTCAGGAATGTCATATCTTAGACATCACATGTAGAAATTTTCCCATTTTTACACACAAATTTCACAACGTTGATTATTTGATGCATTCCAGGAGCCCCCGGTGGCACAATGGGTTAAACTGTTGTGCCGCCAGTTCTGAAGACCGACAAGTTGGTGGTTCAAATCCAAGGAGAGCGCAGATGAGCTCCCTCTGTCAGCTACAGCTCCCCATGTGGGGACATGAGAGAAGAATCTCACAAGGATGGTAAAAAACATCAAAAACATTCCCCTGGGCAACACCCTTGCAGATGGCCAATTCTCTCACACCAGAAGTGACTTGCAGTTTCTTAAGTCGCTCCTGGTACAAAAAAAAACTTCTCTTCTATGACCTTTAATTGAAGTAATTTTTAATTTTTTTTATTAATTTCTTCATACAGATAACAAAACAGTACAATACAAACGAACATCAAAAACTGTTTACAATTTGTATGGCTAGGATATAGGTTAAATTTTCACATTTTTTTCTTCTTCTGCTGCAAACCACATACCTCCCCTTGCTGCAAAATCTGTGCCCCACTGTAAAAAGCTGGAGTGTATTTTGCCGTGTGTGGAATACTCATGTACTATTTGTTGTGTACTGTAATTCCCATTATTCCCCTCAATCCTTTGTGTTTGCGTGTGCACATGCGCCTGCATGTGTAATTCTTATTACTACTCCAGAAAACCACTTTGCATATGGTGAACTTTATGTAATTTATGTAAGTCCCATAATCCATCCCCCCCCCCCCCCCCGCAAACACTTTGACATTACTTCGAAGTGGTATGTGAGATACATTATATATCCATATTCAGTAGGGAAACAAAGGCCCGCGGTTTGAGGATGCCAGCCGTAATGTGTTGATCCTCCTCATTGCTGTAATGGGCAGGAGTCAGACTAAGGAGAGCCACTCTCCCACAGTCTCCCAGTCCATGTCTCTGCTTCAGCTCTGTCTAGGCTGCTATTAGTTTGCTCCCATCTTTATGTTTTTAATATTTATTTGTTATTCATCCTTTTATTCTAAATGTCTTCTTTTGGCCACTGCCTTTAAAAACAAAGAAAGCTTCTCCAGCTTATTTCTGCCCATTTTTTCTTCCGTCTTTCTGAGGTGAGAGTACGCAGAGAGTGCAGCTATTTTGAGAGCTCGTGTTTAACTTGGAATCCTCATGGACAACAAGTTAAACATGAGTCAACAATGTGATGCAGCGGCAAAAAAAAAGCCAATGGGATGTTGGCCTACATCAATAGGAATCTAGTGTAGATCCAGGGAAGTCATTCTACCCCTCTTTTCTGCCTTGGTTAGACCACACCTGGAATATTGTGTCCAATTCTGGGTGCCACAATTGCAGAGAGATGTTGACAAGCTGGAATGTGTCCAGAGGAGGGTGACTAAAATGATCAAGAGTCTGGAGAACAAACCCTATGAGGAGCATGTTTATCCTGAAGAAGAGAAGGCTGAGAGGAGACATGATAGCCATGTGCAAATATGTGAGAGGAAGTCATAGGGAGGAGGAAGCAAGCTTGTTTTCTGCTTCCCTGGAGACTAGGATACAATGAAACAATGGCTTCAAAGTACAAGAAAGGAGATTCCATCTGAACATTAGGAAGAACTCCTTGAYTGTGAGAGCTGTTCAGCAGTGGAACTCTCTGCCCTGGAGTATGGTGGAGGCTCCTTCTTTGGAAGCTTTTAAGAAGAGGCTGGGTGGCCATCTGTTGGGGGTGCTTTAAATGCAATTTTCCTGCTTCTTGGCAGGGGATTGGACTGGATGGCCCATGAGGTCTCTTCCAACTCTATGATTCTATGATTCTATAATTCTAATGTCTGAATCCAGCATTC